AATGAATATACTTTATAGGGATCCTATAATATCTAATAATAAAATAATACAATTCAATAACGTGCTTTAACCACCAGGTGTCCTTTTCTATCAGCTCTGCACCGTTATGGTGTAAATACAGCCTATCTACCAATTGGATCAAATATAACAGTCAGCCGAATTAGTGTTGATACTGCAAGGAGACGTATTGTTTGAAAATAAATGTAATATGTTGTTTAATTGCTTATATATTTATGATCCATGTCATGTTTTCAGTTTTGGCGGCAGTTCTCCTGTTTGTCTAGAAGTCTTCTCAGCAGGGCTCTATAAATAGAGAATTACGGCAGATATGTAATACTTAATACAGCCAAACCGTGTATTACAATGCCGTTATGTGATGACTTTCACAGAGAAAAGCACTCGGAATAAAGTATTATTTTATTTTTAAAAAACGTTTTCAGATTTCACATCACATAAACACCAAATCCCAGCATGCATTGCGGCCAAACCATCCAATTGAGCTGAGGATCTTGCCTACATCTGTTTCCGGTTCCACATCCACACGCATGGATTAACATCGATTTAATACATTAATGTAGCCTTTGTTTCTGCTAAAAGAGGTGTCGACCAGCTGGGGCAACAAGAAAATCGGCGTAATCGAGTGTGACTATTAAAAAATAAATCATTACGTCGGGGTAGCATTTGCTTGGTATTTCCGGTTATTTCTCCACTGGTTAACATGGGTTAACAATACCGTGTAACTGTCACGTTTGAAGGACGAAATCGTGACATCTTCACGTCTCCCAGCATGGTAAATCATCACATGTTCACGTCTTGCCGTGATACCCTCGCCACTCTGCTGTTCCGCAGCGCCGCTTCCCCTCCCCCGGCTGAAATTATTAATGTAAGGCGTATAGTAATCATATATAACACAGCAGGGTCCGTTACAGTTTTTTTTCATCTGATTTCAATTAAACAAAGTCTTGACTTTCAGAATATTAAACTTATTTCGGCAAATTCAGATGATAAATACAACTTTGAAGCTTGTGACGGTATAATTACAAGCGGAGAACGGAGTATAAATTAACGTCACAGCCGGTGTTTCTCGTGAGTGTTTTCCCCGGGAAACAAACAATACGCAAAATTACACGTATACACACACACTCGCGAGCTTCCCCCAGACCAGTAATCCAAACGAAAATATCTTCCCTCCGTAGTATTTTGATTATTTGTTCCGCTAATAATCAATCAGATCGATCCCTTTTCAGTACCTTTTTTTGTTCTCCTTTCTTCCCCTTATTTTCTCCATCTATCCTTAGCTTTCCCTTCTTAAGTTCCTCTCTTCTCTATATTTTCTTCTTCTCTTCTTTTCAGTTCCTCCTTATATACTTCTCCTCGCCTTTCCTTTGCTTTCTCTTTCACATTGTTCTCCTCTCATCTTGTCTCCTCTCCACACATCACACCGGGAGTCTCCCAGGAACACCTCCCCAGGCTGTTATTCCTCAGATCCACAGCTGCTGTGCTCCCTCTCTCCCTCTATTCCTCACACAAACAACCACACACACCAGACACCCGCCTCATATATGCACACAGCGAATACCATGCATAATGATTTACACAAACACACACACACAGAGTTGCTCTCTGTTTCTCCAGGTAGAGGGAAAAGTCTATCAACCACATAATGCATAACAGTAATTTGTTTTCAGTTGCCAGACAAATGAACTAAGCATAAGGCCACTCGTTTTCAGTGACAACACTATTTTACGCCAGACTGGCTTGCTTGTTATTGAGCTAATAGGCTAATGGTGGGTTATTGCCTAAGGTCAGCTGTAGTTAGATGTTTTAATAATGATTTCATTTCACAACAGTCACACACTATGCCAAGGCTAACGCTCACATTACGGCTGGCCTACACAGGTCAGGGAGATGTGGAAGAGCGTTTCATTTAAAACCTTAATATTCAAAATGAGAAAAATAAATACAAAAGGACATCACCTGGGGTATATTTTGTGAACACTCCTGCTATAAATCCCTTGCTACTAGTTAGCCCTGGCATTGGTTTCTTTAACCATGACCATATTTCAACATGTACATATTAACAAAGGTCTTTATTTCTTTGTGTATTCCAAATATAATGGAATATTTGCAGGAAATCTCTCAGGCATTCAAATATGTATTCTCCTTTAGATTTGAGTGTTTTTTCTTCGTTTTATACCTGCTGGTACACATGTGAATGTCAACACACACTCAAACACAAATATGAGTGTTTGATTAATTTATCAACCTCCAAACTTATTATATTTATATTGCTTATTTATAATTTGTTATCTTTGCCTTCCTCGACACAAACTGATGGACCCAAATGCACGACCCAGAGACAAAGTCTTGAATGTAAAAAAAAGTAATCTTTAATTTCAAAGATCAGGTAATTCTTTTTAACAGAATAGGTACTGGAATTAACAAAAAGCGCTCATAAGGAGGAAAAAAAAATTGCATAACAAAAAGAGAACTTAAATTGGACCTATCATGCTATATTTGAATAATATATTGTAGGGCCATACCTATATAAAACATGTCTGCGAAGTTTCAAAATACCAAACAGATCATGCATTTTAGCCATGCCTCATTTCGCTCTATTTGCTCTTTTTTAGCCCTGTTTTTGCAAGGGCTGAATCTGTGAGAAGTCTTCTTCGCTGCTTTTGTGGCAGACTACAGCACCACCTACAGGCCTGGCATATTTACTACAGCGCTTTCAAACGGCAATGGCCGTAGCTGTCTCCTCCTGATAGGTGGAGAGTTGCCCATATAGGCGGAGCTCCTCGTTTCTGACGTCAGAGATATTTAAAATCTGTAGTCTGTTGCAGCCCGGTTTTTAGAGATTTGGGTATTGAGGAAAAGAGAGAGGGTTGTGTTTTCTGACACTTGGTGAGTTCCTTGACACACCGGGGACACATATTCATATATAAAAGATGTACAAAAGTGCATTTTGCATGATAGGTCCCCTTTAAGAAAGAAACTTAAGCCTACAAAATTAACAAAACAACAAAACCTGACATGAGTGAAAGCGATCCTTTATTAGCTGAGGCTTGGCACGACCATTCGGGGAAACAAACAAGACGAACTGACACAGGACAGGGGAGAGACAGGACTATTTAAGCATGAGGTGAGTGGGAACAGGTGGAAACAATCAGGGCAGCGGTGTTGCAAACTTGGCGACTTTGTCGTTAAATTTGGCAGCTTTCCAAACCCTCCGGCTACTTATTTTTGTCAAAAGCCACTAACGACTAATCTAACGACTTGTCATGCTGTTAGGGACTTTTGTGGTGTTTGGAGAGTCACGTATTGTTCAGCAGTTAACGAGCCGCGGGTGCTGCCGTGAGCCCCTCTGCCCCTGCTCTGCCTTCCCATAGTACTCACAGGCACTAGTTGCCTCCCACAGCAGCTCAGCTGCAGTCAGAGCAGAGAGGAGACAGCCAAACCCTCCCGCGTCGAGACTGTAAATGAATTGCGCATGCGCCAAGCCGTCCTGGTTTTGAGCGGGATTTAAATGTGAAATGTAAATGTTTCTTCACTGTCAGACTATAATAAATAACTGCCTTTGCTTTGCTTTGACTCACACAGCCTCAGTCACTTAACACTAGAACCGCCAGAGGTCGCTGTATACCTAAAACAGCCAACGGGTCAAATGTACCCGCTATTGATTTTCAAGGTACAATGTTCTTTTATTTATCATACAGAACAGTGAGTTTTGATTCCGCAGGGGGTGAAACTTATACCAATAGAATCTGTGGACTCTCAGCTTTTCATATGATATAGTTTGTGCAGATAACATGAAGTATAAAATATCGCTAAGAGTGCTGATTTAAACGCTTGGTGTTACACTTGTGTTTTGTTTAGGTACAAATCTCTCTATCTCTCTATCTATCTAGGCTATCTATAAATATCTATCGATCTATCTTTAATGTTCTGTTCTATGGACATATAATTGTCTGCATAAACAGACGATGCAGACTACTTCTCTCATTCCGAGTGTCCATCTTTATTCAACTGGCACGTAACCTGCACACATGCATTACGTCCTCAACGTGAACTCAGTCATCCAAGATCTTGTATTCTCCAAGATGTTACACTATCTATAACTATCTATCTATCTCTCTCTCTCTCTATCCATCTATCGATATATCATCTATCTATCTATCTATCTCTCTCTCTCTCAATCTATCTCTCTATCTATAAGGAACCGCAGTAGACAAATGCGTTGCTATAGCAACACATCATGTTTACGCTGCATTTTCTATGTATTACCCGCTGGCGGATATAAGTATAAATGGCATTTTTTTTGGCAATTTTTTCAATCTGACTTTATATTGGCAATTGTTAACAACAGAGGGTGCTACATAACACACTTTCAGGAAAAGTCACGGACTGGGAGACTTTAATATGTTATTGAAAAAAAGTCACATACAATCAAAAAACAGCTGCGGGTAAAATTTGCCCGTTGGTGGTTCTAGTGTTAAATCTGAGAAAAAGTTTTTATATTTCTATTGAACATCACTGCATATTGAAGAGCTTTGCATTATTTGTGTTGCTTATACTTTACAAGCAACTAGCTGATGCAGAAATGAAAACTCTTGAAAATTGTGATGCGCATTTTTCATATTGTGGCATTTTATATAAGTGTGGGAAACACTGCTTTTCACACTGGGGACAGGGTTATTATCCGTAAGCTAAACAAGAATGTGCTTTGAATACTATTTATTTTTATTTTAGAAGAATTCTACCAGAAGGATTATACTGTGAAGCATTTAATCACAAAACACATCACACTGTATGGCAGGCTTTCAATAATTTTCACTGTAATGCAAAGGGACTCACATCTGATCGAGCTTGTCCTGGTCACCTGACTTACCTCCACCTAAACCTACAGAACTTCAAAATCTGGGATCTGATGAAGGTAAAAACACAGTGTGAGCAGCTTGCCTCACTCTGATGCCCTGCCCACATGATCCTGTCCTCCTGGATTAACAGCTCCTCTCCGGCAGGCTTGGTTCCATCAAACAACCCCACGTTGACATATTCAATGTTCCCGCCCATGCCTCTCTGCCAGTTGAGAATGTCATAATAAGATATAGAGTCACCCTTTAGGTCAAAGTTCACTTCCTCCCCGGCAATGTTAAATGTCACTTCCTGGAGGTAGTGCTGGAGCTTGAACACCAAAAGATAATATGAAATGTGAAAACAAGTTAAAAAAGACAGTTAAAGTGAAATGACTGTAAGAAAATGTAAATATACCTGCCAGGGGTATATGTTGTTGCTTTGAGCACATGAGTTGTATTGGAAAGGGCCACTGCCCGGTTGACAGAGAAGAAGGTTGTGCAGGGAATGAGCAAATGCATACACAGCCTTATAGACGTTATAGGCCACTCTAGGGCTGGATGTATTCATGTAGGCTGAATGCTGCTCTAACAGGGACTCCTGTCCTGAGCAGGAAGGAAACAGGGATCCAGACGACAGAGAAGGGTCACAACCATACAGGGCCTCCCACAGCTCCTTAACTAGAGTATTATTAAGATACATTTGAGGGTTGACTGTCCGCAGGTAGTCACTGAGTCCGGAGATTTGACCTTTTCTGATGCCAAACCCGATGGTGCCCCCTAGGTAGGGGTAATACTCACTGGCTGTAAAGACGGATGCTGTGACCCACGCTTCACTGGCAACCCACTGGATTCCAGTGATGTTCTGTGTCATATAGTCTCTCAAGAAAGGCGTCATCTCCCCCTCAGCTGAAAATACCACCACCACTTTTGCAGTAGAGCTACGCATCACCTTCACAGACAAGGCAAACAATGATGGAGGAATTTATTTCACAAGGAAAGGACAAGAAAAAAGAAAGTAGGTTAAAGAAAGACTCATAAAAGTATATAAAAAAATATGCTTTTAAAAGAACAGCAGTGCCTGCTAATAAACCCTGTCTACTTGTTTGTCTCTTTGTTATGAAAAAAATAATGTTGTTTTCAATGTAGGGACTGGCATTGATGTGTAATCAGAATGTAAAGTTATATGTGTGTGATGAGAGCTCTCTAATACTATACAATCTGGCATCTACCTGCAAGATCTCCAGAGCCCTCTTACGATTGTAGAGCAGAGGTATCATTTCTTGGTACGCTACACACACTTTGGTACCCTGTAATTCTCTCAGTAAACCTTGCACAGCAAAGCGCCCATATTCATGGTCTCCTCGCACCAACCCCACCCAAGTGAAGTTGAATCGTACCAGCAGCTGAGCAATGGCTTTCACCTACATTCAACAGGAAATAGTTACACTTGGCTCAAAACACACACATAAAGAACATTTTACAGACTCAATTTGAATAATATTCTTCTTTTTATTTTCACTGAATAATGATCAACAACCTATTAAGGCCAAACTCTCACCTGATAATCATCGTTGGGGATTACTCTGAAGAAGGTGGGATGGTTTTTTCTGTCAGTAAAACATGCACACGAAGAAAAGTAACTGATCTGTTTAAAGAAGAATAACAAATTGAGTACAGTAAAGCAATTAAATGTTTGGGGGATAACAGATAAAAGAAAAAAATCATTACCATTGGGATTCTGAATGGTTGCAGGATTCTTGACACCACAATAGATTGAGCAGAACCAGATTCCCCGATCACAGCGAGGAGTGGGGAGGCACCGCTGCACGTGGGAGAGTCATCCTCACTCAGCCCATTTAACACAGCCAGAGCAGCCCTCTGGCCGGTCAGTGGATATGCACATGAATCAAAGATTTTGTACCCAAGTGTGTAATTGGGTAATAGCTCTGCACTCTGGTTTATCTCCTCCACTGCCAACCTCATAGTTTGAGCCCAGCGGAAAGCCCTGGGATCAAATCTGCAGCCAAACAGACACAGGTGCACACAAGAAACACATCACAGATGCACACAAGATACACATTCTAACTTATTGTGAGTAAAAAAAAAGGTACAATTAAAGGCAGACATTATGTTATTTTTAAGTTATTTTAAATGTTTACTTTTCATCTTAGTTCTTGTGATAAAATAACTGATCAGTTTATTTTTGCTTTGTCCGCATGTTCTCATTATTTTTCTAATATGTTGCCAGGATATGTCTTTAAAAATATTTTTTTTTTCGGGCCAAGCTTCTTTAATAAGTTCCCTATTATTTACACTATGTTATTATGAAAGCATTTTAACTTATTTAGGGGAAAATAGAGACATTGTTCAAATACTGCACTACGTTATTAAAAATGTATATATTTTATAATATAGAGCAAATTATAATTTTCGAAATATAAAAAGTATCAAAATACATATCTTTCTATGATTGTTCTTTAAATCATTGCATAGATGATTAGGTAATTACCCACGCTCAAAAATAAAGAAATAAAAAATGTGAAAGTCAGTTTTTGCGTGTCTCTATTGATAAAAATATATTTTTTTAAATCTAACTTAAACTAAGAGTGCATTTAATTCAAGCTACTGTAACACCATATCGATGTTTTCCAACATGTCACGCTCAATTATCAATGAATACTAAAACCTCTTCAATACAAGTATATTCTGTTTAATCATTCAATAAAACAAGAATATTAGTTGCATACAATGTTTCATACACAAGTTATATACTCACACTAAGGTTTACACATCAATCAAAACTCACCCATTGCATTTTACTGGTGGTGGCCTGTAGGTGCAGTTCAGGTCTGGCATCTCCTGGTTATAGTGAAGGGGGAAGATCCCTCCAATTATATAGTCACCTTTGGCCACAAAGCCTGGCTCAAAACTGTTTTGGAGTTTGCATACTTTGGCTGAAGATGGTGGCGAGGGGTTGCTGGATATTGGGGTATACATTAGAGTTAGGACACATTGAGAGTAAAGCAAGTGAACTAACACAAGTCGATTCATATTACACATCCCAATAGACAGAGAGAGAGAAAGAGAGAAAGATAGCAATACATGAGACAAGTTATAAACACTTTGTCACCTATGTGTTACATTTCATTGATGACAGAGTGTGACTGGATTGGACATTAGCAGCTCCGCCTGATTTACTAAAGGGAGTTAACAAAGACTGAAAAATAAATGATGTAAGAGGAAAATTATAATGGATTTAAGCTCTCATTATGACATTTTCCACAGAAAAAAGATTGTCGATTTAACTCCATGGTGTCCATGGTGACCCAAAAACATTTAAAATGTTCCAGTGAGCAGAGAAATGGGGTTTTAATTTAAAACAATGTTTTAAACATTTATTCATTAGAAATAAAACCCAAACACAATGAGATGATTAAGATTATTTGAATAATTTGTCAATTACAATAATTCAATTTATTAGATATCAAAAACATTTAATTTCTAAACTCATCCAATACTGGTCAATTATGCATTCATTCATAATAAATCAACCCAAAAGGGTTTTTTATGTAATGCTTCCAACACTCAAATAGAAAGACTTTTGGAGTATTCATAAATGTGCGGCATTAACTGTAATGACACATTGATTTCTTTATTTGGGCGGTACCCTCAGATTCATGTGTGCACACTACAGTTTATAAATCAGCTGACTCCTGAAACATCATACTCCTAATGTTACCAGAAAGGGAAGCTATTACTTGTATATTCAGCAATGGCAATGCTAGCTGCAAAGCTTCTTATGTTTCTTTTTCTATCTCAGGGCCAACATTGTTTAGCTGCTGGCCTGGATAACTGTGTTTTCTTAGGGGAAGAGGGGAAAAACAGTCTGTACGAAGAAGGAGATGTCGTTATAGGGGGTTTATTCCCTTTGCACTACAGCCCTGTGTCTTCCCTTCCAAAATACAAAACAAAACCGATGCCTATTAAGTATAAGTAGTGAGTGAATATTTGATTGTTTGTTGACTTGTGCAGTACAGATTATTCTTATTATGTGCATATGTGTATATTTTAATGTATATATTTGTGCTGCGTGATGAACTGCTTTTATTCCTGTACAGTTTCAGCTCTCGTGCCTTGCGCTGGATGCTGACTATGACTTTTGCAATCAAAGAGATCAACCATCGCAGCGACCTCCTGCCACACCTGAAGCTGGGGTTCCACATCCGTGACAGCTGTGATGACATACCTGTGTCTCTGAGTGCAGCCCTGCTGTTGGTGAACGGCCAGCCAGACGTGGGCATCAGAGCTGAGAGTTTGAACAGGGACAAAGGTCTAGAAAGAAACAGTCATTATAATTTAAGCTGTGCTGCGGCACAAACTGTGTCCCCGGTAATCATAGGAGATGCTGCCTCTGGAGTGTCTATGGCTCTGCTAAAAACCTTGGGTTCGTTCCATATCCCACTGGTGAGACTGCCTTAAAGTCACTTTTATTGTGCTAATATGTGTTTTTGCCATGTTAAATCTATATTTTACGGCTTCTTTTATGGTTATGCTTTTCCAAATGTCAACTTTTAAGAGGAAATCCCTTTTTTCCTTTTCTCTTTTTTGAATCCACAGGATGAAACCTAATCATTCAACATATTTTTTATTTAACAAAATGTGGTGGTACATGTACAAGGATTTTTGCTGTTAACATTCAAGTTTTAAATACTTAATTTTTTATTCTACTAATATTATGATTTTAGTGTTAATAAATTGCGTTTGTATTTTTTTGAAAAGTACAACATTCAGAATCTATATTTATCTACATTTATAGTCTTCAAGTCTCCCTCAATTGTGTAATTAGGCCCCTTGTTCAGGAAAATGTTGTCCCATTGAATACTTTTAAAGACGGTGGTATTGTTTGTTGAAGTGTGATTCTTATTGAACAGATGGTCGGTGAGTGTGCAGAACGTAATTCATGTTTTCTATACCAGGTGAGCTATTTTGCATCTTGCAGCTGTCTGAGTAACCAAAAGGAGTTTCCCACTTTCATGCGCACCATGCCCAGTGATGCCTTCCAGATCAGAGCCCTGGCCCGGCTGGTTAGCTATTTTGGCTGGACCTGGGTTGGGGTCATTGGTGTGGAATCTGATTATGCTCGCTTTGCCATTCAGCTTTTCCTGAAGGAGTCTGTGAAGTACGGTGTGTGTGCTTCCTACACTCACTTCTACCCTGTGGGCCTGAGTCAGCAGGCTCTAAATGAGCTTCTGGATGTTATTCAGGTAATTTTTGGTAAAAGCATAGTTTTCATTCATATAGACGAAATAGCTTGATCACCTGCAACAAATACTTTATTAATGTCAAGTCAGTTATATTACCTACCAAAACCAACATTGTAGTTAAATTGCTCTCTGTGTTATACAAAAACAATTTATTTTGGCGTGTTTGTATACATATTCGAAACAACCTTTAAATAATATGTCTATTCATAGATCAGTACTTTTCTGTACCTTGGTGTAGGAGATCCAAGACACTACTTATTTAATTAAATGACATTTAATTCTTGTATTAAACATTCACTTTCACCTGGATGTTTTTTACTGCAGATGTCATCCTCAAAGGTCATCATTAACTTCAGTAGTGAGTCAGAGATGCAGGGCATTCTGAGAGAAGTCCGATATCGGAATATCACCAGCCTGCAGTGGATCGCAAGTGAAGCTTGGGCCACTGCTAAATCACTTTGGGAAAAGTTTGGAGATCTGCTAACAGGAACACTAGGATTTGCCATCCGGAGAGCAGATGTAATTCCAGGTCTGAAACAACACCTCACCAGTGTCAGACCATCCAATATTAATGAATCAGCTTTCTTGGCAGAATTTTGGGAGGAGTTGTTTAACTGCAGATTGAACGGATCAGTGAACAACCACTCTCATGGTGGTGTCGCCCACCTCAACAGATTGCTATGTAAAGGGACAGAGGATTTAAAAGATGTTTACTCTCCTTATTCAGATGTTACACAGCTAAGAGTGTCATATAATGTTTACAAGTCTGTGTATTTGGTAGCCCATGCTTTGGAAGATATGAGTAACTGCAAAGTCGGACAGGGGCCTTTCCTTAATCGCACTTGCGCAGACTTAAAGAATGTTAAACCTTGGCAGGTGAGATTAATTGTAGCCTAAGCATTTATTTGAAAAGTAAAAAGTAAAATGCACTATAGTTCGTGTTTAGATAACCTATTTCCATTCCTCCCTCAGCTCATTCATTACATGAAGCGTGCAAATTTCTCTGCACTTGGGGAGAAAGTCAATTTTGATGAAAATGGTGACCCCATTGCTTATTATGATATCATGAACTGGCAAAGGAGGCCTGACGGTTCTCTACATTTGGTAAAAGTAGGTTTCTATGATGCCTCCACGCCTGATGGACGCAGCCTGGTCATAAATGAGTCAGTGATTCAATGGCCTGTTGGAAAGCAGGTGTGTTCTCTAAAAACAGGCTTGAGACCATGTTCACCTCTTAGGTTGTTGTATGTCGTTTTGATTAACACAACAGCTAATGTGTTCTTATTTGTGTGCAATATACTTTATTGTTAATCAAGAAGGAGAAAAGGTCACCTTCAAGTTGAAACTGACATCAATTGCAAATGAATGTTGTAGACATTAACACCATCAATGACCCGATTTGGACTGATATGTTATTGTAATCTGATATTTTGTAGCTGAAGTGATACACCTTTTAGTCTGTATCATAATTGGATCCTTGCATAACAACTGTTAGACCCTGCTGAATATGTTTTAAAATGTGTATCTTTCTGAGCTTTGCCTTTCAGGCTTTCCAGTCTGTGTGCAGCGTCAGTTGTCCTCCAGGTTCCCGCATCGCCAGGAGAAAGGGGGAACCCATCTGCTGTTTTGACTGTGTCCCCTGTGCTGAGGGAGAAGTCAGTAATAATACTGGTGCGTTGGTGTTCTGGCTGTTGTCACCTTTTCTCCTTTCTTGACGCTTGTTTCTGAAAGTAACGTCTTTAAACTAAAAAAGTGTTCTTTTATACCGCCTACAGATTCTTTAGAGTGCTCACGCTGCTCAGAGGACACATGGCCCAATAAAGCCAGAGATATTTGCATCCCAAAGACTATTGAGTACTTGTCTTACCATGAGTTAATGGGTATTGTGCTGTGTGTTGTATCTGTACT